TCTTTTCCTTGGTGGAGCAGGGGGTGTAATGAGAGCAGTTTTACAGAACATTCATCCTGTCCCCTGAGCCAGATTCCCCTAGACTGCTCAGGAATGACCTGTCCCCTCCCTCTCCCTCTCTCTGCCTGCCTCCCCCCTGCCCCCCATCAGGACCTAAGCCTGCACAAAATGGCCGCCACCCCTCTGAGGCAGCCATTTTAGGTGCCCAGACTGTGGCCTCCCTTGGGATGGGGCTATGTCTCCATGGGAACCTCAGACCCTCAGCTCCCAGCTCCCTCCATGGGGGTGGGCAGCAGAAAGGGAGTCTTATAGGTCTGGCTGAGGTACCCACCATTCCCCTTTCCCTCTCAGAGACCCAGAGGGGACTAGGCCCCTCACCAACTCCCTTCCCCCAATGCCAGGGGGAGGAACAGATGGCATCTCTGGGTGTCCTTCTCCTTCCGTCTCCTTCCTTCCATTTCTGGCTCTTTCTGTCTCTCTGTTACTGCATCTCCGCATCTCTGGGTGAACAGAGAGAAGCATGTATGTCTCTGTATGTTCATGCTTGCTCGTGTGGATGTGGACACGTGTGTGTTGCACCTCTTCCAAGCCTATGTCTGGGGCTGGCCCATCCCACACCTCCCTCTGTTCCAATTTTCCCCTGTTTTTTATTGTATCTTCTAAAAAAAAAGTTGAAACGTGTCGAGTGAGAAAAACTTGTTCCATTTTTCTGAAGGAAGAAAAGACAGGGGCAGGAAACAGACCTAGAGGGATGAAGTTGCCCCTACCCTCCAGTGTGCCCACCCCCCACCCCCAGACCTCCTCCTGTTGGGGGCAGGGGCTGAGAGGGCCTTCTCTGACCCAAAGAGCTGAGGTCATTCTTGAGAGGAGACCGGGAGAGATGGAGAGACTTCCCAAAGGCCCTCTTATCCTGAGCAAGGTATGGCTTCCCGCCCTGAGCAGAAAGCAAAGGTGGTAGGGGTCTATGAGACCCCTGGTGGCTTAACCCCTCCCTCAGTGTCCAGAGGAGAAGGCAGAGGGGGTCTCTCTCCCCCAAGGAAGTATTCGTTCACTTACTCATCCGTTCATTCCCCCATTAATTCAACAAAAACTCAATTTCTGTATAGACAAAGCATTCTGAATGTGTGTGTGGGTATGTGTAAGAAATTAATACGGTTGAGCACGTTACAGTTTACAAAGGGCTTTAATAAAAATAAGAGATGTTGTTAATTGTTTATTGAATGCTCACGATATCGCTGGCCCTGTGCTACCTCATTGTAGGTATTATCCCATTTAGTACCGACAGCAGCTCTACGAGGTGCAGTATTATTATCCCCATTTTACAGATGGAGAAATCAAGACTGAGAGACAGTGTGCAACCTGCTCACGGTAGTTAGCATTCTTGGATGCTAGTAAGTGGGGTTGGGCAGAAATCAAAGCCCAAATTGTGTGAATGTAACCAAAATATCATATGGCTCGGGGGCCTTGAGGAGAAGGATTCCATGTCAGGATTGAAGACCTCACCCTTGGTAAAGCGACAGCAAAGATTTTGAGGCTATGCTCACATTTGGAGAGGGGCTGGGTGGCATTCCTGAGTCTCTGCCCTACCTGAGGCCTATCTTTGGCCTCTCCCTCTGGCCATGCCCAGAGCACCCTAGGCCATCAGCCAGAAGTAGGATTCTACCTTCCCAGACCTAAGATCCACGCATGAATGGTAGAGAACTTAGCATTGGCCTCTCAGCCTTGGTCGACCACTGAGACAGATTGTGAGGTTGTGGAAGGAGCACTTGGCTGGGAGTTAGGCCCCTACGTTCTAGGTCTGGTTCTGCTTTCCATTGGTGTGTTCCTGGGCAAGACAGTCCCCCTCTGGGCCACAGGAAAAAAACAAGTTGGGGCTATTCATTCTGAAGCTCTTTTCAGTTCCTGGCCAACTATCCCTGAGAGCCTCAGACCGCACCAGCCCCCCTTTTCCAAGGTCTCCTTAGCCATCTTATGTGCCTTGATCCAAAACCTAATTCATTCTACCAAGGACCAAATCCTTGTCTTACCAGCCCAAGGTCCCCTTTGGAGGCTCCCTGTGGGAGAAAAACAGTCCCTGCCCAGACTGAGAGCAAAGCCCTGCCTTGCTCGTCATTGCGCCACTACAGCGATTGGCACGCGGTTGACATCAAAGTGTGTGTGCTGAAGATAGAACTGAAGTTGTCTGTGTAAGCTAGAGGCTGGGGAGGGACAGGAAATATGGGTCTGAAACACACAAATGCTGAATCGGGGTGTGGGTAAGGGTCTTTCTCACCTGGTTGTGATTACCTGCTCACACTCATGGATCTGTCTGAGTCAGGATGTCTCTCCACTTTCTGCACCGCGGGGTGAGGAACAGGGGTGTGTGTGTGTGTGTGTGCGCACGCACGCGCGTGTGTATCAAGCTACCTCCCTCAACTTGTGCCATTTGCATCTGTGTCTGGCCCAGTGAGAGAGCTGAAAGGTGAGCTGTAAGAGAAAACAGCAATTTTCTACTTCTCTATCAAGACACCTGACTGACCCACCTCCCCTTTGTCCCTCTCAAGCCTGCTGGAGTTAGCTTCAGTATTTTCAGTATTTTTTGTAGGGGGAAGAGAATGCTGAGTGTTCTCCAAGAACTTCAGGCAATTTCCAGCCCAGCCCCCTCCTCCTCCCTTCAATAAGTCAGAAGACCAGGAGAGAAAGCCACTGGTGGGATGGTTGCTTGTCTAGCAGGGGGAGGAGGTGGGGGGGGAGGAGATGAGTGAGAGATTTCTGGTTAGGAATCCGGACTGAGACCCTCTCCCTCACTCCCAGTGGGGGGTGCACAGGCTTAGGGTTATTCCAGAGGCTCTTCTCCACCCCCACTTCAACATACATATGCCCCCAAACACCCAAGGAAATCTCTCCCATAGGCTGACTCCACAGATATACACACATGTCCCCACAGACACACACGCCCATGCAGAAGCACAGACATCCAGGCAAGTCTTTCCTTTTCTCTGTCTTTCCCTTGGTTTGAATTTCGTTCAGCCACATATGTTGTGTGTGCGTGAGGGTGGGTGGGGGAGGGGCAGACAGGGATGAGGGATGGCATGGTGCCAACATCTACCTATGGGGTTGGGCCAGGGACGCCCCCCACGCCCACCCTGGGAGGGGGCCTCAGCTGTCCCTTTGTGGCTGAGGGGATCCTCCTGCGGAGTGGGGGCAAGCATAGAGGTCCCTTCTCCAGACCTGAGGATTTGGTCCCTGACCCACCTTTGGGGGCCTGCAAGGGAGGAAATGGACAGAGCAGGACCCTGGAAGGAGCATAGAATTGGGGGCCACCACACACCCCCAATTTCCAGCCTTGCCACCTCATTGTTCCCATGTGGGGGGCTCTATATCCGAGGGGGGCAACTCCTCCCACCTCCCTCTCAATCCCTGCTTTCCCTGCGTTGGGCGGGGAGGGGAGGGCGGCAGAGATATTTATTTATTTCCTTTATTTATTTAATTTTTTTTTTTTTTTTTTTTTTTTTTTTGGAGTAGAGAGTGACAGATGGCGGCGGGTCCCGGGGGAGCCGGCTCTCCCCCAATGCAGACGCATGCCAATCACCGTCTCTCATGTGATAGCTGCTGCCCGTGACGTGCCAAGCCCATATGGCCTGGCATAGAGGCTGGTACCCCGCCTGGTAGAGATGCCACACTCGCTCCGCGGTTCGCATGGCGCTCTGAAGACGCCGGCGCCCGCCGCCTTGAGGAGCCGCTGCCCCCGCTCCCTGAAGATGGGGGAACAATGAAATAAGCGAGAAGATTCCTCTTCTCCCCCCTCTCTCTCTTGCCCCCCTCCCCCCCCCTCCCCTCCCCTCTCCCCTTGACTCCTCTCCGAGGTAAGTTGTCCGAAAGGGAGCTGGATCTGACCCGCCGTGTGGGGGGGGTGGGGGAGGGCGGCTGCTTCGGCCGACAAGCGGGTCCCCAAATCCCCCTTTCCTGGGAGGATGCCCCTTCATAGGGTGGGCATCAGAGGTGTCCTGAGTTCCCTCTCCCCTAGGGGCTGCAGCTCAGGGGGCTGCGGAGGGAGGTGTCTCTGCCTGCGATGGGTTTGGGGAGAAAAGCAGGATCATGGGGGGGCAATGAAGAGAGACTGAGATGGGAACCCCCCCATGGTTGTCCCAGAGGAACCTGCGACCTTTCCTTACCACCAAAAAAAAAAAAAAAAAAGGAAAAGAAAAAAGAAAAAAAAGCAAACAAATTTGATTCTCCTCCCTCATCAACCCTGAAATACAACGAGATCTGAAGAGTCGTGAAGGAGGGAGGCAGTTTGAAGGGGGGAAAGGGGTCCCTGACCGCAGGAGAGACGGACAGGGCTCGCTTCTCTCCGTCTCCTCCCCACGCCCGGGTTCCTCGGTCCTCGCCGCCCGGAGCCGGCTCGGGGAGCTGGGGACGCCACGGCTAGAAGAGCGTTCCTCCCGCCCCTGGAATTGGGCGGCGGGGGTGGGGGCCGAGCCGAGGGCGGCGCGCGGCCAAGTTGCAAATTGGATTAGGGAGCGTGGGGGTGAGAGCCGCGGGAGGGGTGGGGGAGCCGGGCCGAGGGGCCCGGGCCGCCAGAGCCGCCGAGCGGGGCAGCTGTCCCCACCCGCGGCCGCCCAGGCTTCCTCCACCGCCAGAGGAGAACCGGCGTTCAGAGCGAGCGTGCCGCCTCCCCCGGCGAAGATGTCGCTTTCCTAAAGCCCCGACTCGGTCCCTGCCCTGACCCCGAGAAGCCCTGAGCGGGGGCAGCGGCCCCTCATTCAGGCAAGGGGCGGAGCCGGGGCCCAGCGCTGGGGAGAGGGCCTGGGCCGAGATCCCGGGCGGGCCGCCGGGGCAGGGCTGGGCCGGCTCTGGGCGGGGCAGGCGGAGGAGGTGGGCATCCCGGGCCCCCTGGGCAGGAACCCACACCGGACTCGGGGGTGGAAGCAGGTTGGGGGAGGGGGGCGGCGTGACCCCAGCGCGCCCCTCACTCAGTGCTGTCTCCCCTTCCCGCCCGCGGGGCGCCCTCAGGCACCATGCTGACCCGCCTGTTCAGCGAGCCCGGTCTCCTCTCGGACGTGCCCAAGTTCGCCAGCTGGGGCGACGGCGACGACGACGAGCCGAGGAGCGACAAGGGCGACGCGCCGCCGCCGCCGCCGCCGCCTCCGCCGGGGCCCGGGGCTCCGGGGCCCGCCCGGGCTGCCAAGCCAGTCCCTCTCCGTGCAGACGAGGTGCCGGAGGCCGCGCTGGCCGAGGTCAAGGAGGAAGGCGAGCTGGGGGGCGAGGAGGAGGAGGAAGAGGAAGAGGAGGAAGGGCTGGACGAGGCGGAGGGCGAGCGGCCCAAGAAGCGCGGGCCCAAGAAGCGCAAGATGACCAAGGCGCGCCTGGAGCGCTCCAAGCTGCGGCGGCAGAAGGCGAACGCGCGGGAGCGCAACCGCATGCACGACCTGAACGCGGCGCTGGACAACCTGCGGAAGGTGGTGCCCTGCTACTCCAAGACGCAGAAGCTGTCCAAGATCGAGACCTTGCGCCTGGCCAAGAACTACATCTGGGCGCTCTCGGAGATCCTGCGCTCCGGCAAGCGGCCCGACCTGGTGTCCTACGTGCAGACGCTGTGCAAGGGTCTGTCGCAGCCCACCACCAACCTGGTGGCCGGCTGCCTGCAGCTCAACTCGCGCAACTTCCTCACGGAGCAGGGCGCCGACGGCACGGGCCGCTTCCACGGCTCGGGTGGCCCGTTCGCCATGCACCCCTACCCGTACCCGTGCTCGCGCCTGGCGGGCGCACAGTGCCAGGCGGCGGGCGGCCTGGGCGGTGGAGCGGCGCACGCCCTGCGGACCCACGGCTACTGCGCCGCCTACGAGACGCTGTATGCGGCGGCGGGCGGCGGCGGCGCGAGCCCGGACTACAACAGCTCCGAGTACGAGGGCCCGCTCAGCCCCCCGCTCTGTCTCAATGGCAACTTCTCACTCAAGCAGGACTCGTCGCCCGACCACGAGAAGAGCTACCATTATTCTATGCACTACTCGGCGCTGCCCGGCTCGCGGCCCACGGGCCACGGGCTGGTCTTCGGCTCGTCGGCTGTGCGCGGGGGCGTCCACTCGGAGAATCTCTTGTCTTACGATATGCACCTTCACCACGACCGGGGCCCCATGTACGAGGAGCTCAATGCGTTTTTCCATAACTGAGACCTCGCGCCTGCCCCTTTCTTTTTCTTTTGCCTTTGCCCGCACCCTGCCCCCAGTCCCCCCTCCCAGCGCAAGGGGACCCCCACCTATCCTGGCGCCGGGCGCGGGGAGCGGGCCGCCGGTACTGACCCTCTCCTGGGCAGTGCAGTCCTCTTACCTGTGGGTGGCCCGTCCCAGGGGCCTCGCTTCCCCCAGGGGACTCGCCTTCTCTCTCCCCAAGGGGTTTCCTCCTCTTTCCCAGGGGTGGTTCTCCAGGGACCCATCTTAGGGCACTCCCAGGAGACCACCCCACATTTCCTAACCCCTACACTTAGGTTTCCTCCTCCCCTTCCCCCCTGCAGGCCCAAAGGCATTGGCAAGGGGGCAGCTGAGCTGTGGGATACTGTTTTCCCCCTATTGTTGTTGTCGTTGTTGTTGTTATTATTATTATTATCATCATCGTTATTATTATTATTATTATTATTATTATAACAGACACCGAGCTGCCGAGGCAGAAAGGAGCCGGGCGCCCCCTCTTTCTTGAAGAGGGCATAAGTCAGGGCGCCCGAGTCTGGACCTGGAACGCCCTCTCCCCAACCCCTAGTCTCAGCGTTTTGTGAGTTTAATTTTGGCGGGAGGAAGTGTGGATTGAGAGGAAAGAGAGAGGCCAAGACAATTTGTAACTAGAATCCGTTTTTCCCTTTTCCTTTTTTTAAACAAACAAACATACAAAAAAAAAAAAAAAAAAAAAGCTGAGAGGCGACGGAGGCCGAACGCAGAGTCCGGATCGGAGAGAAAACGCAGTAAGAACTTTTAGAAGCAATAAAAGGCAAAAAAATACTACTACCAATAATAAAAAGACACAAATATCTATGCAAGGAGGTTCTGACAGAGCCTAGCGGCCCGGCCCGGCCCCGGGATGCCCCTCCCGGCCCGCGGGCCGCGCCGCCCAAGCGCGGATCTGTGCACTTTGGTGAAATGGGGGCCGGCGCCGCCCCCTCCCCTCCCCAGGTTCTTACAATCAGTGACTCGGAGATTTGGGGCCCCAGTGCCACTGCCCTCCCTCGCCCCGTCCCCATTGTGCGTCATGCTGTTTTTTAAAAACCTGTTTCCAAATTTGTATGGAATGGCAAACTGTTGGGGGGGGTCGGTTTGGGGAGGGAGGGTTTGCATGAGAGACACACACACGCACACTACACCGCACGCACACGCAAGGCCCCGCGCGGGCGTCTGGGGGCAGAGGGAAGAGAGTTCGCCGAACCCTCGCTCCCTGCAGGCAATCCTCATCCCGGGTTGAGGGTGGAGACCAAGACCTAGGGCCAGCCCCGCCCCTGCCCAAATGTGCCTCGGTGGGCGCCAGGCGCCCGGCGATTTCCGGTGGCTGGAGAGGTTTTTTTTGTTGTTTTTTGTTTTTGTTTTTGTTTTTGTTTTGTCTGAGGCGTCCTCTTGGCTCTGGCTAGCAGGTGGGCAGGGAGAGGGCTGAGGGCTCTTTCTGGAAGTTTCCCAGAGAAAGGGGCAAAAGGAGAACCTCTCCCCACCGGAGGCAGGAGATCAGGCATCCAAATACACGATGCAAAAAATGCAAACCCACAGGCGACACACCCACACACTTACCCACACACTCACACGCAATTTTACCTTCCTCTTGTAGAGAAGATGAAACTCCCGTCGGACACCCGAAGTGCATTGCGTGTTTCTGTTCAGTTTAATGACGATTAATAAATATTTATGTAAATGAGATGCAAAGCCGGACCCGGTTTCTCACGGTGGCCTCATTTCATTTGGGGGACTGAGCTGGGGCTCTGGGGGATGGAGACAGAGTCGAGTGACTGTACAGAGGCCGGGTACAGTTACCCTGGACATTGCCGAGTGGGATTTCCACCTTATAATCTCTCTCACACCGGTCCACTGGGCACCAAAACAGCTACACTCACTGCCCCTCCCAGACCTTATACAGACTCACACACGCTCCTAGCACAAAGCGTTGCACTAATCTCCTTACACTCCTTCAGTTCCCAAACATGCACATGCACCTCCTTTGAGAACAAAATATCTTTTCATCACTTAAAAAACGACCCAGTTGGGAGCAGCCAGCCTTTTTACAACCCTCTGTCCGCTGTTGCAAAAAATAAGTGCATAGAGATAAAGAGACAACCATTTGAACCAGACGGGGATATTTTTAAATAAAAAAAATTATAAGGTTATGAGGATGAACTATTAAAGCAGGAAGTCTTTTTGGTTTTAAATTTGTGTTTCAGTGGACTCAGGGGAATCAGCCCTTTTTAGTCTCAGGAATGCTGAAATCTGTAGTAATGTTGGCGAGGCTGCAGGTGTTCCCAGAGCTACAGGAGGGGTCAGAATGGAGGTGCTCACCTGGAAGAATGGAGCTTGAGGTCGCCATGAGTTTCCCCTGACAGGACAGCAGGAAACCCCTGGTGCATACCTGGACAGCTTCCGTTCTGCCTGGTGCAGCTCCAGACAGAGGGATACCTTCAGTCTAGGAAGGTAGAAGAAGGACACCGCAGAAGAGCTTGCTCTGCCCAGAATTTTCTTTCTCTGAGCCTCAGGGGCATAGGCATCTCTGAACTGACTTCCCTGAAAGGACCTTCCCTTAGACACCGGTGCCCACTGGACCCCTGGAATACTTGGAAGGGGGGGGGGTCTAAATCCCAAAGACCACCATCCCAAAGCCTGAACACAGTTAGGAATACTGAAACTGAGCTGTTACTGACACGGCTTACTTAAATTATTTTAAACATACACAAATACTGTTGCTTGTTTTAGGGCTGAAATGGGGGGGGGGTTGCTGTTGGGGCTGGAGCTTGTGGTCAGGCATGCTAAGGCTTTTAAAGATTGGATTCCAGGCCCCCAAATGAGAGCACCCTGACAAAATCTGGAAAGGAGAAGGTAGTTGAAGAAGGAAGACTTAAATGTGAAAGGGTAGATCGGATTATACTGTCTGACCTTCAGCTCAGCGTCCCCCTTAAGTGACCACTTAAGTGGAGATGATGCCCTCTCTCCTCCACCGCAGGACTCCTGCTGGTGGCCTGAGTCTGGGGCCTTGGAGCTGTCCGCTCCCAGGTGCTGACTCTCATCCAGTCTTGAGCGTTCTGGCCGTAGAGGGACGCTGCTTAAGCCGCACAGCGAGAGGCCCTTTCCGACACCCGACAGGAATTCTGAGCAGAATTCTTGCCTAGTTTTTGGAGAATTTCACTAGAATCTTCTCAAAATTTCATTCTAGAATTCTTATAGGATCAGATCTCTAAAGTGAGATTAAGAACTGCCTCCTTCCACCTAGGATTCACTTCTCTTGGTGGTCTAAGAGAATTTAATAAACCTCTGAATCATCCCTATTCTTGGGAGAAAGGACTTGACCCACCTTTCTCCCCCACTTCTCAAATGCTGTATGAAGCTAGGCGCAAATCCCAGACTCAAATCTGGAGTCTGGTCTGCTCATGGCATGGGACAGGCCTGGCAGGGACAACTAGAGAGAAAAGGAACTCGGCACCCATCCCAAGGCCTGAGTCTTATCCTGCCCTGGAAACAAGGTTAATTGGGCTTCTCTCCCACTCAACCTGTTTCCCAGAACGCGTTCTGAAGTCCCGGGCTGGGTAGCATCCAGGTGGCTTGGGGCCGGAAGCAAAAGACCCCTCCATGTGGCTTCCCTGGCCAGATCACAGACTCCTACGTTTCCCTCTTCCGGCTACTCCACGCGGCACGATTCGGCTTTTGAAGCTGGATTCCAGATCCTTTGGAAAGATGTTGATGACTCTCGGGCCACTGAGTCTGTGGTCACTTTGGGCTGGCAGGGGGCTGGGGGTGCCCCGTTTTGGGGGGGGGATCTGGAGCACCGCCGCCGCTTCCGTGAATTCCAGCAGCTACCTGAGCTACCCCTTTCTCAATTCCTGACCCTTCCCCCACACTCCCTGCACTCTGGCTGTGCTCTATTCTCCCATCACCCTCCTCTCCAACACTCAACTTCCCCGGTGAGATGGTGAGATGAGCAGGAGAAGAAGATGCATGAGGACACCTGGCCCCAAGCTCCCCCTCACAGGTCGTTTCCTCTCACTGGCTCTCCTGCTTGTATGCACACACAGAGAGAAGCTCCAGGAACAGAAGGAGGTGGGGGGGGGGCAGAGAAAGCTAAAAGGGGCCAGAACAGTGGGAGGGAGGGGGCAAGGGGAGAAGTCCAAGAGAGGATGCCCTCCTTGCCTTAGGTTGAGCAGCGGAATCTCCAAGCACGCACTAGTAGGCATAGCTCAACCCCTGGACTGCGGAACCTGAAGCTGCCCCCAGGATCAATCTGGAGGGTGTCTTCCCCTTGATTTTCCCACCCTTATCCAAAGTCAAGCATTTGGAAATGACAGGGCAACAGAGAAGTTTCTGAGTGCAGGCCATTTGTCCATCGGGGGAAAGCGAGGAAAAGGCTTGTTGTTTTTCTCTTCTCTGTTTAACCAGACATAATCTGGACCATGAGCCCCTGATGCCCAGTGAACCCCCAGCTCTCATTTTGTCACCTGGTGGGACAGTCCAATAAACCACTGAGTACAGTCCAGGGAAACTAAACCCCATGGGAGTCAACAACAGGGAACCCCTGACACCCCCTAGACCCCATCAGATCGTGTTTGTTTCTCTCTGTTTTATGTGGAAGTCCGTGGATGCAAGGATCTCCCACAGAGGTCAGATATTTCATTCCCTCTTGTATGACCTTTGCTTTCTCCTCTTCCCCAGAATCTTAAAATTTGAAGTTGCCTGCTTCTTGGAGAAATCCGTTGATCTGAGGGGACATTGAGACTGAGGGATAATTCTAGATTCCACAGTTTAGTTCTTAAGGGGGGTGGGAAGAAAGGGAAGGCGTGGGCTGGGCCTGACCAGTGTTGGTCTCCATCTCCACTCCCAGGCTCCGCATGTTACAGCAGGGGTCAAACCAGGACTCCACACTTGACCTGCTCCTATGTGTTCAAAGGAGAAAGCTGCTTTTTGTGAGATGTGGAAAGGGGCAGACGGATCTCAGCTGTCAC